CAAAAGGTAGTGTATATAATATAATAACATAATTATCACAATATGCGTACGATAATACTGGCATTATAATCCATATGCATTGGCATCACAACATGGCACTCACAACTCACATTGTTATCACAACTCACTTCACTATCACAACCCACATCTCCCTCCCCCCTTCACGTTCACTAGCGGGAGTCTTGAACGGACTTCAACTTGATACGTTCCGAACGTCGAGGTTCAACAGGCACAGATGGGGCGGAAGATCCTGGTGCGTCGTCTGACTGCTGTTCTTCCAGATCTGCTGAGTTTCCAATCACGAGTTGTGTAGGGCGCAAGAAGCGTCGATTGCGCCACAGTATACGGCCACTTGGGAGCCTGATGTGATAATCACGAGATTTGCCAATACCCATGACAGTGCCGACCTTATCCCAACGCTTGGATGTGGGATCCTGGACTCGCACTTGCGCCCCAATCTCTAACTTGGAAAGTGAGTGGGCACGCTTGTCATAGCGGGTCTTCACGTCCTTGGCCCGTACTGCGGCACGACGGTCGCAGTCCTCAGCCTTGGTCTGCCACTCCTTCATGAAGGCACTAGAGTGGGCAGGCACACAGGAGCGAAGGGGCATGCCAAACAGAATCTGAGCAGGAGATCGACCAGTGAAGTTTGGGGTGTTACGTAACTCCAGTAATCCTCTGTCGAACTCCTCGCTGTCAATATTTCCGTTGGGTGCTGTCTTCATGATCAGATGCTTGACCTTCTTCACAGCAGCTTCTGCATGCCCATTGGACTGTGGGTAATGGGGGCTTGACATAGCATGACGTACTCCCCATCGCTGAAGGAAAGTTGCAAATTCCCGGCTGGAGAACTGGGGTCCGCCGTCAGTGCGTAGGCGAACTGGCACACCCAGATCACGGAACAAATGCCGGAAGAATCTGATTGTCGAAGCACTTGTTGCACTAGTTCCACATGGGATGACGACAGGCCATCCTGATAGTCTGTCAGCATACACCAAGAAGTGTTTTCCAGCAACACTGAAAAAGTCTGCCGACACAGACATAAATGGTCTTGTGGGTTTGTCATCCAAAATCAGTGGCTCCTGTTGCTGACTAGGCTGTAGGCGCTGGCATGGCTCACAGGCACGGACAGTGTTTACAATGTCAGCATTAATGCCTGGCCAAAAGACTGTCTGTTGTGCACGACGCTTTGTTGCTTCCACGCCACAGTGACTGTCATGCAGGCGAGCTAGGGTGCTACGACGTAAAGAAGCAGGGACAACCACTCGAGGTCCATACAGCACCAAGTCACCATCGTTGTACAATTCATTGCGAATCTTCCAGTACGGTCGCAAGGCACTTGGCAGGTTGTAGCGGTCTTTGGGGAACCCTGACTTTACATGGTGAAGCAGCTCCTCATAAGAAGCATCCTTAGAGGCAGCTGTCCGCAATTCTTCCAAGAAGAGATCCTCTTGCTCGTCTATGGCTTCTGATGCTTTAGTAGACTGAACAGCATGCAGAGCTACAATCTTGACAGAGGTGTCCATTTCAGCATCGAAGGCACCGTCTTCCATCGTTGGGCGACTCACAGGTGACCGGGAAAGGGCATCAGGGATGCACAACTCCTTACCTGCACCTGAGTCAGGGATGATGGCAAGACTCCCTGATAAATCATTATGCCGAATTGACACGCGGACTTTAGGGGAAGGCTGAGGCTTCGGTCGTGCAGTAGAGGTGACACTCCTGGCATATGACACTGAAGGGGATACTGAACTTACTACCTTTAAGTTCTGGTTGGGGTCCTCTTCTTTTGTCTTCTTAGCCTTCCTTGTCTTTGGGCAGCATTTGTCATAGTGTCCCTGCCTGTTGCACACCCTGCATCTGGCATTCCTGGCAGGACACTTGGAAGCAGTAGCCCAATGGCCTTTCTTGCCACAAGCACGACATGTGGAAGTGGTGGCCCTGCACAAACCTTTTTCATGTTGACGACCACAGCAGTTGCAGGCCTTATTAGGCGGAGGTGAGCCAGGCCTCATCTTGGACTTCTGCTTCAGGGCGGCCTTTTTCCTCTCTTTTGTATTGAGAAACAGCACGTGAAGAAACTGTGTCCTTCAAAGCAGATGATGCAGTCTTTGACGATTCATGAGACCTGCATTTCTCCAAAACATCCTGCAACGTCGCTGAGCGGTCCATCTCAATGAGCTTCTGGGTAAGTTCCTCATCTCGTATACCCATTAATATGCCGTGTTTCTTCCACTGCTCACAGCATGCTTGGTCCTGTGCCTTGCAAAGGTCTATCTCCTGTGACAAGATTTTCAGGCGTATCCAAAAGTCATCGAAGCTTTCGCCGTCTGCTTGCTTGCACTCAGAGAAGGCCTTCCGTCGTAGCGCCTCATTACTTGCATTTTTTATGTGCGTTTCGAGCTTTGCCAAGACATCGTCCACTGAGCATGCTGGGTCTGCGGGCACGTCCAACTTGTGCTCCAGCACCCGTCGCATCTCAGCTGTAAGGCACATGCGTAGCTGTATATGCTGCTTTGATAATGGCAGGCTGACAAGATCCACCATGACAGCATAATCGGACCATTCGCGCTTCCATTCCCGAAATTGTTGGGGACTCGCGTCTGCTGTTAGTGCTTTCGGAGGCTGTATTGTTGCCCTCGGGGTCGGTGGAGTGGGAGAAGCAGTGGGCGCGGCAGAACTGCTCACTGGCGAACTCGCAGGTGAAGCTGCGGGCTGCTGGGGAGTGAGGCGAAGGATCAGCTCCTGAAAACGAGCAGACTCCTCGTTCCTGCGTGCATCCTCTTCCTTCCGGCGGGCTTCTTCCTCCTTCCGGCGGGCGTCGTCCTCCTTCCGGCGGGCGTCTTCCCTCTTGTCATCCCTCTGAATTATCCACTGTAGCAATGTGGCAACATCAGTGGGAGGTGGGGTGCTGGCAGTGGCCCCTGCAGACTCGTCAAGGCTGGAGTCTGGCTTTTCAGGGTCACTCTTACTCGTATCTTCTTTCTTCTTCCCTCTACCCATTGTAATGCGGTAAGGGTGTCAGGATAATACAGCAAAATCGCCGAAAATCCGGTGAAGATACGTAAATGTAGCGTGGGGCAGCGAGTGTTATGGCACTGGTGTGCGCGGTGCCAGTGCGGTGACGTCACGGCGGACACGTGCGGGCAGGCGAGCCGCGAGCGCGAGAGAATCAGTCGCTCACGAAGCGTCGTAGAGAGCGCAGGGTATACCTCGCTCGTACCCCAAAATGCTTCGTTTCGGCTCCCTTATGCTACGAAAATGTCCCCTGAGCACACTAAACACTGCACGAACACTATAGGCACTGCACAATACACATCACTACACTAGAGCACTACACCACTGCATCAATGAAGTACACTGCCGGGCGGGTTGATTGCTGACCTAGCACGAGGGTGGACGAGGCGCGGGGCCGGCGACACGCCATGAGGTCGAGGGGGCCTGGGGCGGGCAGCAATAACAGGCGTCAGAACTGAATTTACTGGATCACTGCGCCATGTTCGTCTTCTTTGTTTGCATGGTGTCCTTCTGTGATACTTGAGGGCGAAGGAAACACCGATGAAATCTAAAGTAGGTTCATTTGAAATCAGCTCTGACAAAAATAATACGGAACTCTTCATGTTCCTCTGCCCCACACGCCAGGCTCCGTCTCTCTGTGTTTACTGCCAGACGTGTGACTACAGAGACAAAATAAAATGTTGTACTCTATAAATCAAACAGAGAATATCATTCTTTCATATAAGTGATATGCTACACAGCAATATAAACTAAACATAATCTTCTATATTTCACTTGGTATAACATATCACATAAAAGGTAGTGTATATAATATAATAACATAATTATCACAATATGCGTACGATAATACTGGCATTATAATCCATATGCATTGGCATCACAACATGGCACTCACAACTCACATTGTTATCACAACTCACTTCACTATCACAACCCACACCTCATGGTTTAGGTTTACTCATTTCTTCCTATTTCATACCTTTCGTACGTTGCTTGAAATCTGTCTTCTGGACCTTCTCCAAAGGAGCTAGTTGTTTCCTCTCATTTTCTTACATTTATCATTCTTGCTTCAGTTTTGAATCTTGATACAATTTTTTTCTACTCCTTGTTTACAGACTTCGCAAAATTTAGAATATTGCATATCAGGGTTCTCTTCGTTCTGGGGGTTTCTCAGTTTATGCCATCTTGTAATTGTACTTTCCTTTCCTTTCCTTTCGTTACTTACGATGAGGTTATCCTGTAGCAAACAGTATTTCAACTTAATTATTACATGATCACTTTTTCCCTAGAGGAGGGTAGTACTCCATATCTTTAATGTCATCTTTATGCTTTGTAAATATTAAATCAAACAAAGACGGTCTATCTATCCCTCTTATCCTGGTATGATCTGTTACATTCTGCAAGACAAAATTCATTTATGACTACTAGTAGTTTTGCATTCCACGAATTCAATAATTTTCTCCAAGTATTGTAGAGTCTGAGTCCTAATGCTACATCGTCTACGGAGGGATCCAGTTTGGAGTCAGTGATGCATATTACATTTGGCTTATTACATTACGTTCTAGCTCTTGTAACTTCGAACATAAATCATCTATATTTCTATATGATCTTTCAGTATTGGCTGCAAGACTAATGATTGTCTGTCTCCACATTTTGGTTCCGATAGTAAATTTGTTTTGCTTATTCATGAATGTCACCTTTAAAGGGTGTTTCTTTCACTTTTCGAATAATCCCAACCTCCTATGGGCTATTTACATATATTGTATATGCATTTATATTCTGCTTCAAGTATTCGGGATTTATGACCATGAGGATTTTGACAATCAAATTTTCTTTGTTATATCGCTCGATTCCATCTTTTACAACATTTTCTTCATGTCCCAATATGACTATGCCCTTGTTTACATCAGCCAAATTTGCAATATTCTTTTCTTTTTTTTACCGTCTCTGCAAGCTGTGTCTTTATTTCTTCCTTTGTGGTCTTGATGTCCTTTTTTCCATTTCATTTACAGTTTCCTTTACAAAAAAGAGAGTTGTGCTCACGTGAAAACGCTTACCATGCAGTATTCGCGGTCACTTCTCGCCTCCCTCTCCTTCGCTCTCACTTCCCGTCTCACAAAGCCTCACAATCTTTTTTTCAGTTTTTCACTTATTCGTTTACTCTAGAAAAGAAATTATTATTTCAACATGAACCATACACATTTATATAACCCATGACTAACAGACTTAGACCACCCATTGTCTGATCTTCTCTGGCCTTCCTAAAACTCACAAACAGGGCGTCCCTCTAAGGCCTATTATTTGGTCTTGTAACTCAGTTACCCGTCCTTAAGACTCTTGGCTAGCGAGCGTTTTATCTCCTTTTATGGGATCATTTTCTGATAGTCATATCAAATATTCGATGGATTTCTTGGATAAGGTTAGAAACTTGACGACGCACGACAAGAAATTAGTGAGTTTTGATGTAGATTCTTTGTTCACTAATGTCCCGCTTCACGATGTGCTAGATTTCCTTGAAAAAAACTATCCTATTCCGGTCAATTGCTTTATCCAGCTCATTCGTTTGTGTGTCACGAATAATGTCTTTATTTTTGACGGCGAATTTTATAAACAAACCAATGGTATCGCGATGGGATGTACCTTAAGCTCGGTCCTTGCGAATTTATACATGGAGATGTTTCAATCTGAACTCCCGTTTATTCTCGCTTCCGGTACGATCTGGTTTCGTTATGTTGATGATATTTTTTCTTTGTGGCAAGTTGATGATACATTTTCTTTATGGCAAGTGAACCGTTAAGACTTTGGTTTTTTGTTCTCAGAAAACTCAACAACCTCATGTGTACTATCAATTTTAAAGTAGAATGAGAAGATTCAGGTAAATTACCTCTTCTTGACCTCCTTTTATTCATTGTGAATGGCTCACTTTAATTTTTGGTTTACCATAAACCCTACACATAACGCTAATTACCATCATTTCTTTCTCGAAATACCCGTTGTATATTACAAAGTCAGTAGTCTCGTCCATGTTTCTCAGGGCATATAGGATTTATGATACTGAATTTATCGATCGGAAACTCGACGTCATATTTGTGACGTTTTCGAAATCAGGGTATCCTCGGTTTTTCTTAAATCAAGCACATTCATCTGCGAGATGGAAATTTTATATTCATTCCCGTGATACTCAACAGGATAGTGTCAATAATCTATTAATTATTCCGTATAACCCATCTCTGAAAAACATATTTAAAGGCGCTGGAAATTCACGTTGCGTAATACTTTGGTTAAGCACAATGCGCCTAGCGGTGCTCTTGAGACTTCTTCCAGTATTTACACATACCCTGTAAGGATTGTCCCAAGTTTTACGTTGGTGAGACCGGTAGAGCTTTTGAGAAAAGAATTAATGAACATAAACGTGATGTTAGATGCGCCAGAGAATCAAATGCGTGTTTCGTTCATTTGCGTGATAAAGGCCACCAGCTCAACTGGAAAAAAAACGCTAAATTAATTCATAAATCAGCTAATTCGTACGAAAGGAAAATATTAGAATTTCTGTTGATTTAAAAAATGCCTAACTTTAACTTGAGTACTGGTCAATGGGTCTTGGATGACCTTACCTCCTCGTTAGTTAGCAAAGTCTTCCCCAGACTCTTCGACCTTGACCCTCCTACTGAGACCTGATTCAGTTTTTGTTCGTTCTGTCTCCCAACCACTATACATTCTTGGCAAAATTCTCTTCTTATATCCATTTCTGTTTATTATTTGTGTGAAGAGGAACTCGTGAAGAGTTACAAATCGTTACAATTCATATACATTTCTTACTGTGGCTGTTTTCCTTTTCATATACATTATATATATATATATATATATATATATATATATATATATATATATATATATATATATATATATATATATATATATATATATACATTATATGTATAT